GGATATTGCCAAGGAAACACGAGAATCCTTTGAGGAAATATATGTATTTCTAACTTGCTATAAGATAGAATTGGAAATTGTAATGGTTTTGTTTTCTAGAGTCTTGGTGGAATAGGGAAGACAGTGTATTAAAAGCTAATTTTGAAATGAAGAATTTTAAAGATTTTCAATAGCAATAGTTTAGGAAGTCAGCCTGAAAATGTTTTTAAAGATGTTCAATAGCAATAGCTCTAGGAAGAGTCACCAGGAGTTGTTTCTAGGCATTGGTTTCTGGCTGTATCTTTCGACTTTCATTTTTAAGTTTTGCTGTGAGTTGAGGATGTGGGGAATAGCCATCCCCAGGTGTTGGTAGAGTGGCCCTGCAGGGGTGTGCATGTGCCCCGGGAGCTCGAGGCACTGTTTCAACCTAGCTTGCAACATGGGGATCTCTTGTCAGTGGCTGGAGTAAGAGTACTAGCCTGGCAGGCTGGGGAAGCCTCGGGGTGGTCTGGGCACTGTCCTCCCTGCCTGCAGGATGGCAGCTGGAGGAGCTTGAAGGGGCCTGCCTCGTGGCTGTCAGCACAGCAGCCCTCCTGGCCTCTGGAGCAATCTTTGGGTCCATAAGTCTCTGGCGCTCGGACTTGCCTCCTGGGACTCAGCCGCTGTCCTGAGGGCCCTGGTGCTACTTTCCCGGTGGGACCCAAGCCTCAGGCAGCTGCGACCCCAGATTCGGCTGCTTCCTGCCGCCTCATTGCAGCACGAGTGCTCACCTCACTCAGTGTAGAGCCTCAGGTTCCTTCTAAGATCCCCAGATGGAATCTCCCAATTTAACAAGATAGTTGGTGGCAAGATTTGAGCGGCACTGATTTAACTCCAGCTCAGAGTTTAAGTTCCCAAGACACAGTCCTGCTCCTTCCCCGGCCTCATCCTGTGTGGCTGGTGTGGATGCGGGGTCGGAGGGTGGGGCTTGGCAGGTCAGCAGCAGGGGATGCTCATTATTGATCGTCAATGCCTTGAGGATAACTAGGATTAATGGCCTTTATAGGGCTGTAGTTTTGGAGAGATATGTGTGTGTGTGTGTATATGTGTAGAGCACTGTGTGTATATATATATACACACATATATTTAAATGAGGTGGACACGGTTATCACTGGGCATTTTTCTGACATGAAACTTGAGAGCAGAGGGTTTAGGAAACTCCTGAAGCCACACGTGTCAGCGGACCCGGGCGGTCTGGTCTTAGACCCTGCACTGTTTGCCTCGCCACGCTGTCAGCAGACTCCGGTGGTCTGGCCTTAGAACTCACGCTGGTCGCCCTCCTGCCACATTGTGGGGTTTTTCTTGCTTCTGGCAGCATTTGATAGCTTGAAACAAGACTAAGACTTACTATGAGTGGATATGCCATTATCTGGAGACCCAGAACGTTTCCTGGACCTGGTGCGTTTCGAAGGTCACGTGAGTGGGAAGGTAAAACATTTTCATTGTGGTCACTGGGGCTCCTGAAATGGTATTTTCCCAGTGAAAGTTTACTCAAAAATCTTTTAACTCAATACTATGTGAATAGGAAGAAAATGTGTTGGGCCTAGTTAAATGTCTCAGAGCCACAGAAGTAAATGAGGGCACCTTCCGAAAGCACAGCCTCCCGGAGGAGGCCAAGGACGTTTGTCTGGAGTGGTTTGCCGTGAAGCTGGTGACTCTGGGCAGGGCTGGTCTGCCTGGAGAGCCTCTGCCATGATGTGTAGGTTAGTTGGAAGTAGTTGAGGGTTGTGGTGTGAGGTCGGTGGTCCCCGAGAAACTCTCTAGCAAGGCCGGCTTCCGTGGGATGGAAACTGCCGCTCAGTGGCTTTAATCCTGGCTTCACGGGTCTGACGTGATAATCCTGCACTTGGATACTTGGATCTCAGCCAGGTCAGATGGCCCTGAAAGGACATTCGGACTGTGACGGCTGCACCCATTCTCAGCATCTGTAGGCCTCCATGTATGTGTGTTTCCATTTTCTTTCAGCACAATTTCTCCCAGCCAAGTCAGAGAAATAGAAGGAAAGGTGGAATGAAGATGTGATTGAGGAAAGTGTGGTGTGGTCTTCTAATCTTATTTTGCCTTGGTTGGTGGCTCAAGAAACTCCACCTGACCTCAGAGCTGAGCTTCTGCCAGGAAGTCCTGCCTTTATCCTGCCTCGAGGCCCGCTGAGACACCCAAGAAGCTTCATTAACAAATTGCCTTTTCCTTTTACAGTTGATATATTTGCAGCAAACAAAGGAATAACCCCCAATATGGTGATGAAATGCATTTAAGTATAGATAACATTCAGTCTGAAGGGCCTGGGATTTTAATCATCTTTGGGTCATGTAAACAAGTGGTGTCGCGATTAAAATCTCCTGACAGCTTTGTTCTGCCACGCTCCTCAGTTTTGGAATGATGATCTTCCTTATTGTACCTTGAGGCAAGCAGCGTCAGTAGGAGAGCAGAGTGGTGTCTCTAGAGGCTGGGAAAAGGAGAGAGGTGAGGCCCTGGAAGGACACTGGTCTTCCTGGTTTAGGGGTTTGGGGCTCAGCCACCTTCCTGTCCGTGTAAATTATACCCAGGATCATTTTCACTCGCCCCACTTTAGTTGAGTCACTGCTTCCAGGATATGTGTGCCCACGCCACCTGGGCCGTGATCCTGGAGTTGGGTGAGACTGATTCCCATATTTATAGAATTACTCTGGGATTATTGAAAACAGAAGTACTTGAGGCATTCATATCAGCATTTCGAACATAATTTATGTCTAGTTCTCAGAAACATTTATCTGAGGAAGTATCTATAATCTCTTTATTTTCTGCCACTCAGTGCTAGAAAGAACTGTGCAACACTCAAGTGAGTGGCATTATTCCTCTCCCTCCACTATGCAAGCAAGATTGAAGGTACCTCTGGCTCCCCTCAATCTTCTCTCATCTGCAGGGTGCCCATGTGGCAGTGTGCTGCCTTCCGTCTTTCTTTTTGGGGAGAATCACAGTTTATGTACCGCTGGCTCAGCTCAGCGCAGCTGTGGGTGAGGAGCTTGGATGCTAGTGACCCTCCCAGGCCCGCTTCCACCTCCTCAGGCCTTGTTCTAAACTGACAGATAAACAGTGTGTTTTGAAGAGGACAGCAGCAGGGCAGGAGAGTTTGTTCAGACTTTCTCCTCCTTGCACTGGACGCTTGAGCCTTCATCCAGCTTGGGCACTTCTACAGAGCTGCGTTTGTGTGTTGCAACCATTCCCTCCTGTGCAACCGTGCTTTCAGAGGTTTGGAAATGTGACTTAACTCATCTTCAATTTAAAGCGTACTATTAAATTTTAGTGTTGAAACTGATGTATTTTATGGCCTTTATTTGATTTCTCTTGATTTTTTTTCCCCATATGAGACATGGCATCTTAAGGAGACAGCCTGGTGTTGGCCTTCTAAGGATGGAAGTGAATTCTGAAAGCTCCTTATGTAGGTAAGCAGCGAAATAATCAGGAACCATTATTATAGCTATGCCTGTCCATGTGCAGCACGACTACAAGCAGAAAAAGTGCAGCCCGGGCAAGGTATTCTAATGCTGCCTGCAGCTTCACCCCCTCCTGCCATGAGGAACGCAAGTGCATGCAGGTGGTTGAGTTAGCCTCCAAGCCCAGCCTCCGCAGCCCCCTACATCCCCTCTGCATCTGCAGGGGCACAGGCCGTGCTGCCACCCTCGCCAGTGCCAGGGCTGACAGCCAGAACGGGCAGTGTCCGCCTTGCTCGCTGCCAGAGATGATCTGGCTTACAGTATCCCTCAGGCTCATCTGGTCTCATGTCTTCATCACCAACCTCCTGCTGGTAACAGGTTTGAAGATACCTTGGTATACAACATACCCATACCAACGTATAACATACCCATACCAAGGTGTTGGGGCGGTGCTCAGTCCTCCGAGGAACTTGGCCCTTAGCCGCATTCATATTCAACAGGATCGGGAAATGGGTTCTTGTTCCTACGTCCTGATCCCAGGAAGCCCTTTGACTTGACCCTGTAATGACTGGCCTCCCTGAGAAACACTGGTGCCACTGGAACACAGCCCTACTTCTCCAGTTTCTCCGCTTGTAACTGCACTTGTGTTTAGCAGGTCTTCCAGGACTTAGACGCTGCTTGCGTGAGCCAGGCTTTGTGTGGAAAGAGGACAGATCCGAGCTGGCAACCAACCAGCCTATAGAACCATCTTTTATGCTTCCCAGATTCTAAACAAAAACTCTACCCGTGGACATTGAGGGTGATGCATTTCTGCCCCAAGACATCTGTGGACTCAGCTGGAGGGATGGAAAGGGATGTGGAGCCTCTTCACTCCTGGCCTGGGCTTGACCTGCTGTGCAGCCTCTCAGTGGCACCAGGGCCCCTTGTGTCACAGTGGCCTTGGGTTGGTGGCACTGCCCCCAGGATGTCTCAGGCCTATGATAGGCCTGCTTGTGCCATGGCAGCCTCGGGATGGTGGCACTGCTCCAGGGTGTCCCAGGCCCCAAGGCTGTGTGTTCCGTCCAGCGAAGGGAAGTTGTACTGCAGGTCTAGTCGGAAGGTGCCTGGGGTCCTATCTTCAGAGCGGTTCCCACTACCATACAAATCAAGCTAGGAGGCTCCCCATGAATTTGCAGCTGTGTTTCAGGTTGTTCCACAAGGCCTCTTTTTATTTTGGGCTAGTCAGGTATATAATTTAATTTTCTGAGCTCTTTTTAAGACAGGCAAAAAAAAAACCTTGCTGCCCCAGGCAGTGGTGTGAGCAAAGCTATTACAGCCTTAACCTCCCAGGCTCAAGCGATCCACCTGCCTCATGCCCCTGGACTAGCCAGGACCTACAGGCACATTCCACATGTCCTCATGCCTGACACTCATTTTTTTGCATTTTGCAGAGATGGAGTTTTACAATGCTGCCCAGGCTGACCCAAACTCCCGACCTGCCAAACAAATGCCCACTCCCAAAAGCACTCGAGACCCACATGCCACGGCTCTCACCCGTCCCAACCAAACAATAACCAGAGCGGGGTTAATTATGTCTCTACTGGAACATGCTGCTTATAGTACATTAGGAAAAATCATCCAGAACTTGGAAAAGGGGCTGGACAGACACAGCCTTTCGAGGTTGTCTGATGAACCCCTGGGGTCTTTAACCATCTGGAGGGATGTACTATGTCAGACTCACTGTTGTCAACCAGCTGAAGCCCAGGTTTCATGAGGTTATGTGTCAACTTGTAGTCCTTTCTCTGGCAGAGATGCGAGTGACTTCTGCTCAGTGAGAGGCTCATCTCAGGGACTTCATGGCCTGAGGGACGGCAGCCTGTTTGAGCTGATCGAGCAATCTCGCGCTACCCTTCTTTTCTGAAACGCCTATGAGTTTCACACTTTAAAGACGAGTTCTCACACGGTCTTTAAAGCGGCTTCATGCCCGCGCTCCTTGGTAATGATTGAATGCTTTTTATGACCCCTTGTCCCCTTTCTTTGGGGTGTTCCAGTCTCAGTTCTCATGATGTGTTCTGCTTCTGCAGGAATTTCTGAAGCTGCTGAGTGTAGAAAGCACTGAGGAGGCTGTGCTCCCACCCCTGTGAGTCTTCCAGGCATGATCCTCTCCCCTCGGCGAGGCGGCGTCCATGGCACACCGAGGAGGCTGTGCTCCTGTCCCCCGTGAGCTTTCCAGGTGTCCTTGTCTCCCCTCCAGGGGGACAGGAGGAACCTTTCAAACCCTTCTTAAACTTGATTTCATGTCTTTGTTTTAACAGATTTCTTTGCATCTTCTCCCTTATCCAGAAGTGAGGGTGAACGCTGAGTTATTCACGGGAGTCAAGAAACCACACGCAGCCCAAAGTGACGTTTGTTTCCCTGAAATGATTTGTGTGTGTTCACCTTAAAATGCAACTCAGTAAAACAGGTGTGTTTTGAGGAATGACTTTAAATTACTCAGGTAAAAATGTGACAGTTAAATTTCATCATCTGTGCGGGTGTCCACAACCCCCTTCTGTGATTGCTTGTGAGTTTGTGACTTGTGGTTATTTTTGAAGAAAGAAAATCTGTTGCTGAGGACTTCGAAGGGTGTGCTGGGATTGTGTAGGGTGGACATCGGGGGCTTCAGTGTGTGGCTTCCTTGAAGAGGTTCAAATTCAGGCTGAGCGTCCCTACTCCAAAATGCTCCGAAACCTGAAACATTCCGAGCTTCCTTGTGACGCTCGAAGGAGATGCTCTTCGGAGCACTTTGGATTTCAGGCTGGGGATGCTCAACTGGAAAGTGAAATATTGCAAGACCCTTCTGGCCCCAGGAGCTTGGATGAGGACATGTGGCCTGTGCCGGGCATCCGTGGCGTGCGAGGCAGCCTGGGCTCGCTGCACTGGTTTTTGTAGGAGCCACAGAAGGGAAGGAGGGTCAAAGTGGCCACGCCTGGCTCCTCAGAAGGCTTGACCAGAAGGAGGTGGGCGCAGAGGGCAGCAGCGGAGTCCCCAGCGTCCGGGGCTCCTGTCCCTGGTGGAGTTGAGAGCCTCCTCTAGTTGTGGCCTCTGCCCTGTCAGCAGCCACTGAGGCCTGAAGGGAGAGGGGGCTGAGGAGAGGAGGAAGGATAGGCCTACTTTTGGAGAGGGCCAGCATCAGCCTGTGCTAGCCTCGTGTGTTACTCCTGCATCCAGGGTGCATGGCCGTGCCTCATGGTGTAGCGGTTCCCGGGATGCACAGCGCTTTTGTCTGCAGTAACGGCTTTTTCTCCGACCCTTGGAGGCAAGTTACCTTTTTCCCCAGTGAAAAGAGGTAGAAAATCTTATAGAAATGCATTTGCTCTAATGTCTATTTTCCGATAAGACATGGTCGCTTAGGCTAAATCTTTGGGAGGTCAAGGCAGGAGGATCACTTGAGGCCAAGGGGTTCAAGACCAGCCTGGACAACATAGCAAGACCCCATCTGTATTACAGAAAAGTTAGCTGAGTGTAGTGGTGCGTGCCTGTGGTCCCTGCTACTCTGGAGGCTGAGGTGGGAAGATCACTTAAGGCTACAGTGAACTGCGATTGCTCCACTGTACTCCAATCTTGGCAACAGAGCCAAGACCCAGTCTCAGAAAGAAAAGTAAAAAAAAAAAAAAAAAAATCCAGAAATGTCATTTTCTTTTTAAATCATCCCAAAAGAAAAATCAGTTTTTTTCTAAGAATGTAAAGGGAAACTGATACGATTCTTTCCTTGCATTATTTCTCCTTTTCAAATATTTACAGTAGTCCATCCACATCGTCTCTCATCTCATTACAAAGCAGCAGGTGTCTTTGAGGTTAGTGGTGTTTCTCTGTGTCGCACCTTGGAGAACAGCGAGCATGAAACCTCTTACCACGATCGTGCACACCGTTTGTAGTCCCAATTAAAATCCTCTCCAGAGACGCCTGTGCTGCTTATTATAGCAGAACTTTGGTTGTGCTGAAATGTACATTCAGCTAATGGTTTTAAGTTCATATCTGAGATGATGCTGTATAATTCCTGAAGCGTATGGGATCAGTAATGATTGAAGATAATTCTGGCTGATGTCATTTAGAGGATATTTTTCACTTCAAGTTAAAGCTTCCTTCGCCATAGTCATTTTGGGATTCATTTAACTATGTGCTTTATTTCATAGTTCAAATTTTCATTAGTCATTTCATAACATAGGATTTTGAAAGCAGATTTGGCAAAATGTTTCTAACAAAATGTTTGCTTATGACGTCCCAAGGAACAACACTCAGAATTGCTGGTAACTGTGGTACATTTTAAGACTGATGATAGAAGTCACTTGAACGGTAAGGGCTGCTTTGCGAGGCAGATGGGGTTTGAACCCTGACCCTCCTGATACACCAGTCCTGACCCTGGCCGCCTCTCCTCTCCACTGGGAGATGAGAAGGGTGCTAGCATCCTCCTCACAAGCTGTCCTGAGAGCCCTGGACTAAGGACTGGTGTTCCTCTTGCAGGTGGCGCAGATCTGGGGGCTTGACGATATACACACTGCAGGCTGCCAGTGTCGGGGTAATCCAGTGTTATTCATAAAGGTGGGATTTGCTTTGCTCCCCTGCAGACCAGGTGCGGTGCTGCTGTTGTAGCAGGTGTGGATCCTCTTGGGTGGTCCTCAGGTGCAGAAAGAGTCACCGATTCGGATTCCCAGTGTTAGATGTGAGGGGACCATGGACCTCATGTGTTCAGAGGGGAGGAGTAAAAAGTTTTGCTTGTAATTCCAGGACTGTCTATTCCAGGAATGCCAAACCACTGGCTTTCACCTGACGCTGTCGTAGGTGACACGGTATGGAAATGAGGACTCATGTTGCCCATACCTGAGCCCAGTACCAATCTCCCTCCAGGGCCGTGGCCGAGCCCTCCTCATTTCTTTGGGTTGCCAGCCTGGGGATCTGTAAGCCCAGTGACGTCTCCGGTCTCGGCCTCCCTTCCCGTGGGGACAGGAGGTGGCTTCAGGAGACTGGTGATGGATGCCTGAATGAAGCCGACTTGTGACTGCAGTTCTGTCTAAGGGCCTCCCCGGGTGTTAGATGTCAGTAAATGACACCTGTGTGTGGATCTCATGTGATGAGAGAAACAGTGGGGGAAACCAAAGCTTGTGGAGTCTGCAGGTTCTCGACTTGGGGGTGTGTGCACCTGTGTACTTGGTGAGGGGTGTGATGTCTGGAATGAGTGTGCAGGTGTGTCACGTTTGTGTGTGTGTGGTGAGTGTATTTAGCAGGTGTGGCTGCAGTGAGCATGTTCATGTGTGTTGTATGTATTTGAGGGTGTGTGTGGAGTGTGTACACGCATCATATTTGGTGAGTGTATTTGAGGGTGTGTATGGAGTGCATACATGCGTTTGCGTGTATAGTATTGGGTGAAGGGGTGGCCTGTGTGGAGTAAGCATGCACACGTGGGGTTTCTACGTGGTCCTCCCCTGAGCCTGCTCCTGGGCCCTGCTGTCCTGGCAGCTTTACAGTTTGGTGCGTCTTTGATTCCGGAAGATTCTGGAAACAAATTCTGAAGCTGTGATCATAAACTTGCAGCCCTGGAG